GTTCACTTATTTATTACTTTTACAGCATTTGACAGCAAACCTCCCTGTTACCTTATCTTATCTTATCTTAAGTTTTTAGTTTGAGGTCTTTTTTCTCGACACCATTTCAAATGTCTCAGACTCTGTGTTTCTGAAGAGACGAGCAAACAAGAGGAAAACTGTCAATTTTACTTTAAAACCAAACTGGTCTTTAGAGTTGACTTGGTCTGAATCTGTTTAGTTTAATTAGCGAAATGTCAGGAGATTAAAAGTGACAAAGTTTCCTCCACAACGACCTGAATGAAACAATGAGATGGTGTCGTCAGCTGTGTGTGTGTGTGTGTGTGTGTGTGTGTGTGTGTGTGTGTGTGTGTGTGTGTGTGTTGCACTGCAGCCAAGCCCACAGTTCACTGTTCACTGCAGGGAAATATGTGGTGATATTTATTTTCCTCTGAGTAAAAGAAACGCCTCTCATTGTGTTTGTGCTGCTTTTGTGTGTGTACCTGTCACTGTGTGTGTGTGTGTGTGTGTGTGTGTGTGTGTGTGTGTGTGTGTGCAGTGATAAAAGACGAAGAAGAATCCTCTACATTAACACAAACCTGACAGATCAGTAGAGTCTGGTTTCACCCTCAGTGTGTGTGTGTGAGAGAGTGTGTCTATCTGTGTGTGTGTGTGTGTGTGTGTGTGTGTGTGTGTACAGTATCTGACAGCTCTCACCTGCCTCGCCTCCTGAATCTGTTTTCGAACCACCTCCTTGATGGTCGGCGTGTTCTCTCTGGGGGGGTGGAACAGCAGACTGATGCTGGTGTCCGCCGTCTCCAGCGTGGCCTCGGGCCAGCCCAGGTCCAGGTCCGGCACCTCCTCGTCCGACTCTGTGGGGAAGTAGGTGGAGGGGCTGACCTCGTCCGTGACCGGCCTCGTGACCTCCGCCTCGTCCTCCACGGCCGGCAGCTCTGCATTTTCCAGAATAAAGAAGATCTCCTCTTCGGACAGGAAGTGGCTGATCTGCTCGGCCCGCAGGAACTCCTCGTAGGCCTCTTTGCCGCCGCAGAGCAAGGCGTAAATGGCCAGGCGGTAAGTTTCCTTGTAGTGTGGCTGAACGTAAAGCGGCTCCTCGTCGTCCTTCAGTGACGACAGGCCGGACAGGCTGGCCTCCATGGCAGCTGTTACTGGTGCAGTTCACACCTGAAACCTTCACTGGACGACAGATACCGAGAATCTCATTGAGAGGGGAAACAGCACAGTGTGAAAACCTGTCCGTCGAGTGTGTGAATCACCTCCAGCAGATAAACAGAGCGAAGCATGTGGTGACTCCGAGAGCTTCGCTGAATTTAACTAAACAAGCATCTGCAGAAGAAGATGAAGAGGCTAAAGTTAAACTCACGTCATGATTGGAACCAGCAACTCTGGTGTTTCCAGTGAGAGGAGGCCGCTCTCCTCAGTGTGTTTCTCCTGCAGCAGCTCTGAGGTGTGGATTTGAACTCTCGGTGTTAAAGAACACTCGTACCTGCCCTGTTCTGTCCACTGACAGCTCGCGCGCTGTAACAAGCCCCGCCCACCTCAGCTCACCTGGGTCGCAGCAGCAGGTTTGTTCAACCTGCTCGACTCAGCCGCTCTTTCACTTTGTGCACTTTTTTTCTCTTGTGTGTTTTTTTTCTTTATTCGTTGCTGCTGCTGCAAGAGTCGTGTTACCTCCGGCCGGGGGGGAGGAGGTGTGAGGAGGTGTGAGGAGGTGTGAGGAGGTGTGAGGAGGGAGAACATGACTCAAAGACGACAGGATGAGGTTGATAAGTGAAGTTTATTGCCATCACAAAGCACTGGGGGGAGGGGGGGAGGGGGGGGGCACAAACATGTATCAGACCTCTCTGTCAGGAAGTGAATATTTTACCTTCACACATTTTAAACAAAGAAAGTCACCTGAGACAAACGTCACTTACACGCTGACAGTTTCCAACAGTTTGAGTCTGACTCGTGAAAACGCTCGCCAGGATTGAACAGCTGAGATCGGAGACGGTGACGTCGCTACGATAACGTGAGAAACTCAATTAGAGACGAGACGACGGGTTCGTCCGATGATTCAATCCAGTTCATTCAGAGGTCACTGGTTATCGGCCCTGAACCAGATGTTTACGTCATTTCTCTCGTCACCGTGTTTCCAGATCTCATATTTATCACCATGAGCCAAAACCAGGATTTAACATTTAAACAACCACGAAGAGAGTTAACACAGGCGTTCCGCTAACAGAGCGGAAGGTGCAGCTTTTTAGAAACACGGAACATTAACATCGACCCTGGTCTTTTTATTTTTCTGACTTTTCTGCTTTTTCCCGCCCGAGTCAAAGCGCAGCGACCAGATCAACGACGTGAACGAGCTGAGACGGACAAATATATTAGTAGTCGTTGCAACTTGTCCCTTTTTTGTGGGTCTGTTTTATTTTACTGTGAAACTAGGTTTTGAAAAGTAACACAATAAGAACGAGTCGGCGGCCGGTTCTCGGACAGTCGTCGTCCGGTGCGGCCGTGCAGGAAGTGGGACTTTTAACAGAGACTACGTCTAAATAACTTTCACACTCATGCTAAACACCAGCGTTGCTAACGGCGGACGTTTCCCCCTCAGACGTCAGCTCCACCTCTACTTCCTCGGTGGGGTCGGAGACTTCATGAATCTGGGAGGGGTCGGGGACTTGACGCCGCGAGGAGTTGGGGTCGGGGATTTTGGGGTAGGGGTTGGGGACTTGGGGACGGGGGTGGAAGCAGGGGTGGAGGCTTGACTCTTCATGGACGGCGCTGGGGTGGAGGCTGGAGTTGGGGTCTTCGCGGGCGGCGCCGGGGTCTGGGACTTGGAAGGTGTGGGGGTTGGGGTCTTGGAGGGGAGAGCCGGGGACTTGGGCGGCACAGGCGTGGTCGCGGGCGTGGCCATTTTGGCCTGACCCAGTTTGGCCTCGGGGATCTGCTCGCCGTGCTTGTAGACGCTGACGGTGATCTCGACGAACTCGCCGCCGTACTTGTTCCGCACGTTGATGCTGTACTTGCCGGAGTCTTCGGGGGTGACTTTGTTGATGACTAGGCTGGAGAACTTGCCGCCGTCAAACGTGACCTTGGTGTGTTCGGTGGAGGTGACTTCCTGCTCGTTCTTGAACCAGGTGACCTCAGGGGTCGGCTCGCCCCACACGGTGCAGGTCAGACTCAGGGACTGCGGACGGTCGAGAGTCAGAATTTAATTAGAGACAGATTTTTAACAGTGCAGCTTCATCCACACGATGAAAACACAGATTCACGACTCCGGAGTTTTATAAACGCTAAAACAGAGAAGTTTGTTAACGTTACCGTTTCTGTCTGAAAACTCTACGGGTTCATTTTAGTGGACGAGCAGAAAATGAGATGTCGACGCTCACACCCACTTGCTGATTGGGTCCTTAAGCTATGACATAGCTTTCTCTGATTGGTCACATGACCTCCTCACTGACCCTGTTGTTCAGCTCGGTGTATTTTACACTGATTCAGGCTGTGGAGGAGACAAACTATAATTCAAACAAATCTGCAACACTCCCTATGTCCAGCAGTGTTTCCGGCCCGACACGTGCGTGTTCAGCGTACGTGAGAGGTCACGTGACATGTGCTCTCAGGTGTGGACGACCTGGAGCCTTCGGACTGAAACATCACAGAGTTGACTCACAGCTGTAATTTTCATGTTTTGCTCCGCCACTCATTTCATAACAATGTTGCTCGACCTGTACGACTCGTACAACAAGCACACGGCCGGTGATGAAACAAAAATACCTGCGATAAAAAGGTGGCAAACTTTCTGCATCATCGCTGTTGTAGAGTTTATTAATATCATCATGTGTGACCTGAGGGCGGAGCTGAGAGACCCTCACCTTGTGCTCCATGATGGTGACCACGTCCGGCAGACCACCAACCACTCTGCCGCGGTCTGAGGAGACACAACAAAAATGCACAGAATGTCACTTCTGTTCTGACCGAACACACAGAAGAGGAAAACGTCATCGTGCTGTGTTTGCTCTGTGACAGTCGACCGGTCCCAGTGTAAACAACACGCAGATATTCAGAGGAGGAAAGAAGGCGAAGCCGTAAATCTCTCATCTGTCAGGCGTAACGTTAAAAGCAAACAGTCTCATACACGACATCTGAAATGTGGGTCAGTGTCTCTGAGTGTGTAATAAATAACGATACTCACTCTTCTCAGCGAAGGCAGCGGCCCTGCAGGATGAAACGAGGACAGAGTGAGCAACACAACATTTAAAGGTTCAAGCACACAAACGTTTGTTCTGTCAAACGACTCACTTCAGTCTCAGGTACTCCTCATAGGCGTCAGTGTAGGCTGCAACAAAGAAAATAATAAATGTAGAGACGATAGATTTCAAATGAAACTGAAAACTCTCAAGGACGGGAGGACGGATGTCTCACCTTGTCCAGAGAGGTCAAAGGTCCTGGAGTGAGTCTTCACGCCGTCGGAGATCTCGATGGAGTAGTGACCCTTCTCTTTGTCGGACGGATCGCAGATCTGCATCCAGGCCATCTCCGCTGTTCCACCGATCCTCATCTTCTCAGAGGAGGCGATCTTTGTCTCCCTGCGGGTTGGAGTCGCGGGTCAGAGGTCAGAGGTTTAAACTGTGGTGGTGAGTTCACGTTCACGACCGACACAGATAACAATGAGGTCGCTTTAACAGAAAGTACCAAGAAATAGAAAAGAACATTGAAACTTGGGTCTTAAATTGGAGACATGATGTTGTTTCACCCGTTCTTTCCTCTACTTTGTTTTTTAGGATCGATTGCGATATGCAAAGTGAAGAAGTCTGCGGTGGAGGCAGCTCCGAGACAACATGACATCAGAGCGGAGGACGCTCTGATGTCATGTTTGAACCGTACTTGTGTTTCCAGACGGTCTTCATCTCCTCTGTGTAGTAGTTCATGTAGCACTGCAGCCTGATGCCCTCTGGAGTACACTGCATCACCAGCTCAGAGGCAGACGCACCTGAGACACAGAGACGAAGACTCCTTACAGTCCGGCTATTTTTCAAATGTTATACATCGCAGACTGGTCGACTGGTAAATCCTTTCATTCTATTGTATTTATCTATTGATTCTGAATTGTTTTCACTTTCAAATCTGAAGGAGGTTATTTCTTCTCTTTGTCTGTGAGTCAGCTGGACCATGAAACTCTCACATGTTGTCTCCTTCTGGTCGTTTCTGGTTTTATTTTCTCCTCTTCTATCATTTTACTGTTTAATCCTCATGTTTTTTTAATGTTTTTGTTTTATGTTACAGTCTAACGTCTAAAGAGCTGATGCTGGATTCACTCTGAAACCATGAACAGTCCAATCAGACGCGAGCAGCACATCCCGTCGTACACGTGCTATGAACGACCTGAGGTCAGAGAATCACACTCACCAGCGTTCTGAGCGAGGGCGTTGATGATGTCATCAAACACTGCCGATCAAACAGAGAGGAGGGAACATTAAATACCGGACAACAACAGAACTGAGACTGAGCAATAAAGAAAAAGAAAAAACGGAACCTTGGCCTGAAATGTCGAAGGCAGACGTGTCCTTTCCTCTGTCGTCGCTGAGCGTGGCCTTGAACACGCCCTGATCTTTTCTGGAGAACTGAGACACCCAATATTAATGCGTCGGTTTGTGATCTGAATTCACTTTCTACAAATTATTTACTTAACTTAAACGAAACCAGATCAAATGGAAACAAGCCTGGTTCGTGAACTTCAACAAATACACACAGTATTTCATCGTGAACATGTGTACGTGAGCGTCAGTGAGCTCTCGTGCTCGACAGTGAACCCAGCGTCACGTGGCTGGTTTCAGTGATGATGTTACCAGAGGGATGGGAAGAGCGCAGGCTCCCGACATGACGTTGGGAGGAGTTTCTGGAACAATCTCCTCCTCCTCTCTGTACCAGTGGAAAGTCGTCTCCTTCTTCACGTTGGCCACCTGAAACACAAACATCATCATGAAGAGTGAGACAGGGAATAAATCCTGGTGATTTAAAGTCCGAGAGACACTTTCAAACAATAAGTGAAACATCATAACTCTTAAACTCTTTCTTCAAAGTGAACAGGTGGTCTGAAACACTAGGGGGCGTTATGAGCCATGTTCAACGCATGTTTTTATAAATGTGGTAATTAACGGGATATTAAAACGTTGAAGCATTAATGTGATTATAAGGTAAAAGAATATTTCTGTTACCTTGCAGGCGAGCAGCACAGTACAATCCTCAGTGACAGTGAAGTACAGATACTCAGAGAAGTGAGGACCTGAAACAGCAAAGTATAATCTGATAAATTAGAATATCGTGGTTCTTTAAGGACACGTAGAAACACTCCGGTGTCTGACAGTGTGTCGAACAGATCTTTGGTCTCGGTGACGTGTGGTCCTGAATGTTCTGTGGTTCGTACCTTGCTTCCTGATGTGCTCTTTCCTCTGAAACTCAGCCTCCTTCAGAGCAGCCTTGAAAACTGAAAACAGAAAAAACAGTCACTGAGTAAATGTGAAGTTTTGTGTCCGTGACCAAAACGTCTGATGTGGTTTCAGTGGTTCAGGTTTTGAAGATTGAAAATCACTGGTTGATATTCATGGATCTTGATGATTAATTAATCAGGCGCATTTAGACGACGGACATCTACGTGTGTGTCGGCTGAATTTCGGTGAAGAAGAAGACCTCACCGTCCCCCACCAGGACCAGGGAGCTCTGGGCCTTGGCTTTGCCGTCGTGGATCTGGACGGTGTACGTGCCCTCGTTGGCTCTGGTGAAAAGATCCACGGTCATCTGGATGATTCCTGTGGCCACGTCGTGACTGATCTTGTGACCCTGAGAGGAGGAAATGTTGAATGTTACAGATACTATTATAATTACTACAGAGACTATTATAATTACTACAGAGACTATTATAAGTACTACAGAGACTATTATAAGTACTCCAGATCATCACACACTGAGTCTCGTTACCTCTCCACTGGTGACCTCCTTGTCGTTGACGATGAACCTGTAGGACACGGAGGGGGACAGTTTGACGGCCTGCAGCCAGAAACGCACGTGACCTTTCTCCAGAATCTCGTAGTTCAGGCCGTGTTTCAGAGGAATAACTGCACTCGGACGAAAAGACACGAGAAGATTAGATCCTGAGTGTCGTCACTTTTCACTTGCATTTAAAAAGAATATA